AATAAGCCGAAAGAGTTGGAAATTCAATTCATGCTACGCTTTGGATTTATAGATAGAAGGAATGGCCAGGCATCTTTTTTTTATTTGGGTGGAGTGAACAGCACCCTTACATAGCTCCTCTGACTGTTACGTCTGCTTGGTATTAATACACCTCCGGAATGCCTGGCATTAAATTAGCCAGTCCCACGCTTCCTAATTAAGCCCCTTTTTGAAAGGCAGAGCAAAATAACTTCATCTTGGGAAGAAAACACCCTCTCTGTCCCTTTAATCATGACCTCGAGTAACTGCGAAATAATGACTTTAAAGTATTAACATCTGATGAATTTGTATGAGTAATTTGTAAGTGTGACCCGAGGCGTGTAATCAGTGCAATTTGTTCAAGTCAAACATAAAACCTCTTCATGAAGGCACAAATTCGGCTCGATTAGTAGGGCAAGGAGGTCTCACTCCTTAATAGCTGCACGATTTAAAAAAAACACACAACATGCTGTGGTTTAAGTCATTTTTGACTTTTTTTTTATTAAGCAGCAGCAGTTTTAGTGAAATATTGTGTAAATACAACGTCAGGATGTACATTGCTGTCTGCCAGCACATCTTTTGTAGCCACTTACTTGAGGTAAAGTGCTTTAGAACTACATATTACTATATATTATGTTCCTATAAAATTACTGAAAAAGCAGTTTATGTTGCAACTGGTTGCTAATTTCACTATTCTACGTGCTGCTGGCTGGTTTAATGCTTTAAAATAACTAGCATCTACTGCGATGTGTAATCTATTGTAGCATACTGGTGCGAAAATAATTGCCCACGACATTGTACCTTAGAACAATCTCATTAAAATCACTACTCCTCAAATAGGAACAGTGCTTTTTTTTTTTTTTACTTACTATATATATTTCATGCAACTGAGCTAATGGGAACAGACGTGTACCCATTTTTACATAACATCAAGTGCCATTGCCTTATCTTTCAGACATCTTTTTGTTTCTATTTTTGGTCAGCTGTGTCTGTTTGTGGTCATTTTAAGTCTCGCTGTAGTTGTTTAGTTGATATCCCAAAAAAGAGGTGTGGCCCAGGGACCTCTGAACCATTGGTTGCTGCTTCTATGCCCAGTTGTCACATTCAGTAATCCTTTCATAATCATATCACGCAAATGAGAGCACAGACAGTATTGGATTTACTGTACTGCGAGTCATGCTGTTGTGGTTAGAGCCTTTTGGGCAGAGTAATAACTAAGATGCTGCTTGAGGTATGGTATGGAACAATTACCCTCCTGTCCGTCACAGACCGTATGTAAAAGATGAAAAAATGAATGTGCCTTAAACCTGCATTCTTTCTCATAACCAGCAGGGGGCGACTTCTCTGATCACAAAAACACGTTCGATTATATGAAAAATGACCCTACTTTTCACTTGATCTGATACTTCAGTAAACATTTTCCTCATAAATTTATGGTCTCAATTGGTAGTTTCATACTTTTTGAATACAGCATTGTGCTCATTTTGTAATTGATAGTCCCATTTAGAGATAATAGATGATAAAGCAAGACGCATTTTAGGGCAGAGCTCCTTTGTCACTGGCAAGTTGCTAATAAATCGGTGTGAGCGGTCTCCTTGTGTTCTCAGTCAGGTCAAACCCTCACTTGTTACGTCCAGTTTCAAAAAACTAAGATAGCGACACCAACATGCCAAACTTAAGTTTTCTATTGAGCGATCCATTTTCGACCAAAATCTATCCATCCATCCATTATCTATACACCGCTTAATCCTCACCGGGTTCACGAGGGGGGCTGAAGCCTATCCCAGCTGACTTAGGACCTGAACAGTTTGCCATTTTATCGCTGGGCGGCACTTAGAGACAGACAAGCAAGCACACTCACATTCACACCAGCTAACCACCTTGCAGCCCTTTTTCAACCAAAATGTCAAATTAAAATATTTTAGTCTGAGGGAAAGCTCAAGAAGCTCCGCCCACTTCATAATTTTACTGACCCTCTCAGTCAACCAGTCATTTTTCTCTCTTTCCCCCCCAGAGCATTTTGGCTCACTGAAGCTCTATAAAATGAAAATACAGATACCTCAGAGTTGGGTTAAACTAACATACACTTTGTTATCTTTCACCAATGGTCATGGATAACAATACAGAAACACTAATTATATGGAGCTGTTTCATGGTGGTTGGCAACCCAAACCAAGTGACGCGTTTCTGTTCTTTTGTCTAGCAGTTGAAAATAGCTAAAGAAACAAGAACAGTTCATTCGGGATCATTCTGGTTTATTATAACTGGAACCAATAACATGGCCTGTCTCATCTGACTCAGATCTTTGCTATTATCTCAGTGAGTGAACAGTGTCGTTATTACATGAAAGAATAACGGGCAGAGCTATAAAAATAAGGTCAAAGTTGTAATAGGCTGGAATTATCTGTTGAGGTCAGACTTAATGACCTGATCACTAATTGCGGTTGACTTGTCTCATCATCGCTAATACATCATGAGAGTGCATTCTGCTGCTTCATCCCTTCACAGAGCTAAAGGTGGAGAGAGGAGGAGGAGGTAATGGTTGGGTGTAAATGTCGAGACAGGCAGTCTGCTGGTCAGTGTAAGATTAAAGGCGATAAACTCCAGGAAGCTGCCGACACTGTAGCGACCCCAGGGGTTGCCGAGCAACCGGAGCGTGTGTTGACAACAACAAGCGGTCTGACACAAGGCTCGTGCTGGGAGTCAGGGTTGGGAGGAGTGCAAACACACACTCCAGTCACATGCAAAAAGGAAAAAAGAAAAAAAAAACACCCACACCCACCCACAAGCGCACACAAACACACACGCAGAACATACTCTGGTTTTGAGTTTCTAACACTTGCAGCTAACAACCCAGAAATATATGCACAGACGAAGCCCCCCGTCCTCACAACTAATCACAAGTACACACATCCATCTCTTCAGCTGCTTAAATAAGAACCACTGTGAATTTCCTTTTATTAGTCAACTATCCATAACAATGTAATAATAAATGACATACACAATAATGTACTAATAGATTACCAGCAGCCTCTTGTTGGTGTTTAGTGATGGTTTAACACTTTGTAAAATTTTACAAATGCACCAAAATCTTATATGAGGGCAATTACCTACACAATAATTATCTGTAGGTAGTAACCAATGCCATACAAAACAATACGATACAATACGATACGATACGATACATGACTATACGACAGGATGGGACACACTGTGACACAATGCGATATGATATGACGCAATATGGCACGATATGATCTGATCTGATCCGATATAATATGCTATGTTATGATATGGCACAATATATGATCATACAATATGATATGATAGGAAACAATACAGAATGGTATGGAATGATATACCATGAAACTATATGATATGAAGTGAAATGAAATGATCTGATCTGATCTGATCTGATCTGATATGATCTGATCTGCTATGCTATGCTATGCTATGCTATGCTATGGTACACTATGACACGATAACATATGAAATGATATAATATGATATATAACTAAACAACATGTTATGATACAATAGAATACACTATGATGCAATATAAGATATGACATGATATAGTATGATATGAATGATGTATGACAATAAAATATATTATGATATGATAAGATAGACCATGACAATACGATATGATATTGCACAATGTGACACAATATTCTGTGCTATGCTATGCTATGCTATGCTATGCTAGGCTATGATAGGAAACAATACAGTATGGTATGACACAGTATGATGTGAAACTATATGATGTAACATGAAACAATATGATCTCATGTCCTATGCTATGCTATGCCATGCTATGACACAATATGATATACTATATTATGATATGATGAAATGATACCTGATAATAACACATGACAAAATATGATACAATTTCTTAACCTCTATATTAAGAAGTATGTACACTATATATTAGATGGAAATTTAAGAAACACAGCTAATTAGGTTCAATCATTACCATGATTTAGCGTGTGTTTTTAACTCATTCATAACAATTTGCTTGAAGCATAGAAAGCTTTCTATGGCACATAAGACGTACTGACTGCTAAGATGTAATTGGGGGGTTCACTTTGCAGGTGTAATGGCTGAGGTTTTTGCAGGTTTATGTCATGCTCGATCAACAAATGTTTAATAATTTAACTTGTCTTCCCAGGGGAGCTGTGTCATGGACCGGGTAAAATGAACCTGTTTCACTCAGTCATTGTGTCTGGTCAGTCCTATGTTGTCAGCAATCCAACAACGTCTCAAGGTGCAACTCATATGCATCCCATAAAAAACACATCTCGGAGAACATGCCACCCTTCAACCAGTGGGTCTTTACTGTAGCACGATACAATTGTAATACTGGGATACGTTCCCCTTTTCTGTCTCAACACATCCGTGGTGTTTCTTCTCATTTTTCCTTTAATTTTCACGCCCTGATTAATGGTTTTACCTCCGTCAAAATATACTTTAATGTCTCTACATTATTGGTTTTTTTCTAGAGGATCATTTTAGGAAATGTGGTAATTTGGTTCAAGTGTATCCTTTTTTCAAAAAGGCTTTTGTTATTAGTAGTTTTCCAATATTTCTTCTCCAAAACAATCCTCAGTGGTGTCCTTGCTGCAAATGAGTGTCTTTTGTTTCCCAAAAGGTTCGTAAGAGATTCTGTGTTACAAAAAGCTCTTAATTGGTCTCTTGTCTGCTTCAGAAGCTCAATATTAACACATTTCTTCCAAAGCTCTTAATTAGTCCAGCATTTAAAAAATCAATCCATTTTCCAGTTGAGCATTATCATAATGTTCATATTACCTTCATCCATCCTATACATCCTTCAGGAAAATTGCTTTACTTTGAAGGCTGTGTGTCTCCTTTACAACCAAAATCAGATATATCCAGCTTTTTGGTGTCTGGTTTGTGTGAGGTTGTGGGTTCTGGGATGACAGCGTAAAGGTGAGAGATAAGATGTGACTGTTAGATACCTTTGCAGACGAAACACTTGATGTGGAAGTGTTTGTTCTGAACTCGGAGAGCCTCCCCTTTGCAGGGCTTTCCACAGTTCTGACAGGGGATGGGTCCTCCTCCGCCCTGCTTTTGCTTCTGCTTCTGCTTCTGCTGCTCCAGAGGGCTGTGGACAGCCTGCTGCTGAAACACTGCAGGAGACACACAGACAGGGACAAGGCAATGTTAGATCCCAATCTAGTACATACTGGACAGTAAGTAGTCTGTAGTTTGGAAAACAGTTCTATCATGATGGTTAAGCAGCAGATATTGGGAAGTTTTTGCATATGTTTGGCATTAAAATACATGAAATTTAAAACTTGCTTGTAAGTAGCTTTTATCCAAAAATATCTGCATCAGTTCCACGACCCTTTTTATTCAAACTCTGTACATTTGTCCCCATTTCTTAAAACTTCAGGCACCATCCTTTCACTCCAATAAACACACAAGTCTTACTTTTTCACAATGACATATTTCATTATTTTCATAAAACACTGCTTTGATCCATAAATATCCAAGACATCACTTCGACTGTCACATCACACAAGGAAATAAAAATAACACTATTCTTCATTTCTTTTTGTTTCTTGACTTACGCTGAAACATGTTACTCGTTTTCATCATTTACTGGGACATTGTGTTGTCTTGTTGTTCATTTGCTGGAGACTCACATTCAGGCCGCAAATGAAAATGGGTTCAATCCGAGCTGGGGTCTATATGTGAACCTCAGCTGACCCTCCTTCATGTTCCTCCTTTTGACCGGGGGTGGATTTTGCTCTCAAAGGGGTCAATGAAATATGGATTCCCAACAGGGGTTAGCAATCAGATATCTGATTGTGTTGTGAGGGGCGGCAGTATGACGTAAACGCCCGCCATAAATACCCTCAGCTCCATAGAAATGGTTCATATGGTGGTCGTATAAATCTTAACAAACAGATGATTACCTGGAGCATCTCCGTACAGTTGACAGCGCCTACCATTCATTCCAAACAATGTCAAGTGTTGTTGGCGTTAGATGTGATGCTAAGCTAAGGTGTCGTTAGTGACGTATGCAGAAATGCTGCAGGAGACCCCAGATGGATCCACATCTTATGTGAATGACAGTAACAATGGTTTTCACAAGTGTCTAATAGTTTAATATGAGCCTAACCCGAAAGTCAACCTGATCTTTTGTAAATTCTAAAGGGTTGTCGGGTTGGGTAGGAGTAGGTGGTGGTTCCAAATTGGAATCTGTAGACATTGCATTCTGTGGATGAGAATTGTCCAATGCAATGGCACTGTTTCTAGAAAGATGTTGCAGGTGAATGATGCAAAATATAATAAATGATTTGTTGAATCTAAAAACTAAATTCCATTCATCTTCATTGTATGGGTGAAATTTCAGAGACAGTTATTTCAGATTCAGTCTAACTATCTAAATGGCCGGTCACCACTCGGGAGAAGCCTGAGTGTTCTGAATATTATTAATTTTTTTGTTAATTATTTGGTAATTTGGTTAAAAAAAGACCCATCGTATTCATTCTAATGCCAGTCTTAGCTTTAAAACGGAACTATTGTATTGTAAGGTTTGGCTCTGTGAGAATACATCTCAAACAAAAGATGACACACTGATGCCAGCTGATGCATCATAACTTTGACAAGTTCCCAAACACTTTCCAAAGCAGTTGCCCTCCTCCGTTCCACACAGGAAGGATGGAGTGCACCACGAAAGCAAAATATGTCCACAACTGCAATGGAAAATATGTAGCAGAACAACATCCCTACAGGTGTTTGTGACAAAAAGCCAGGAAAAAGACTGACATCTCCATTCTCACAGTATCATCGGGACATCTCGCCCCTTTTCCCTTTCATCATCATCCTGGCACAGTGAGCTCAAACGCTGATCCGCTTTTCAGCACTGACTGGAACATCGGCTGAATAAAAGGCCCTTTGTATTCTCAGGAAACATTCGCGTCGTCAGACCGGTTTCATCGGGCCTCCATGGTTACCAATAATTGGCCCTGAAAAGGGGAGTTCATCAAATGATTTGATTTAGAGACAGCAACAGAGAGACAAGGAAGTGTAGCAGAGGGCCAAACAAAGCCGCTTTTTGGAACTTCACCAAGAACTTGTTTCTGGTGGTTTGCTTAGTTCATTGGGTGTTTATTAGGTGTTTTATTGGCACGATGTTTTTGACTTAGATTAAGTTAAAGCTACATTGTTTTTTTTTTTTTGTTTTTCTCTACTCTATAATGTGGAAAAATAAAAACTAAACCCCAGTTCGCCACCCTGACACTTCTTTCTCCCGATAAAGTCAAAAGAAAACATTTTACTTATTTCAAAGTAAATCCCTTATTAGCAGGCATTTTCACTGAACATAGTCAGTATCCCTTAAAAAAAAAAAAAAAGAAAAAATCAGCATTTTTTAAAATACACATTTTGTTTTTTTCTGAGACTGAAATGAGAAGAATGATGCCAGTCCCATGTTTGTATGTTAAGAGTGTAGTTTTCCCAGCTCAGCATAAAGTTTGCAGGCTGCAAGAAACAGCAAACATGACTCTGCACAAAGTCAAAAAAATCTGCCAACCAGTTAAAGCTTTGATACTCTCCAGTTTGTACAATGTGTGCTCTACCAGGAATGTAAAAATTACAAAGTTGTGGTTTTAGGGGAATTAAGCTCTGGAACTTTTTCTTGGTGAACAAGTTTATCCATCCATTAAGTGCTTCTGTACATCACCTCTGGCTGTAATTGGGATGCCTGATAAGGTCACACAGGTTTTAGTATAAGTCACATGCACAAAGGTATGACACCCACAACCTCACCGTGAAAACAAGCACATAGGAACTACACCTTGCTGTTTGCCAAGAAATAGTCCCAACACGTACAGTGATGCACCTGTAGAACAACTAACTGTCATATTTACATTTCTGTTAATGTATGAGCTGAAGGAACATGATAAAACTTGTTTATGAGTCTGTAGAGGTGGGGCTGATATTTTTAACTTTAGATGGGCCAATGCAAGTCGTTTCTCCATGTTTCGTGAAGATAGTTGAGCTATGTAGAATTATGCAAAGGTGCAAAAAGCTAAGGAATAGCTTTAAGTGCTTCAAGAGTTTGGAACATGGTGAAACAGACACTACAATGGCCACAGTTTCTAAATTGTGAAGATCCAAAATTATATTCAAAGCCAGGAAGGGATTCCTAGACACCGATGATCTCTCAATTTTATCTGCACTTCTGTTATGCCTCGTGTTGACTAAGAGACGCTTTGCCTCAAGCAAAGTCACACTGTAGATGTAATTCACACACTGACGATTTAACATTTGGCCCGCTAAAAGATGACTCAAGGACAAGGGGTTATTAGTTTTGAAAGCAAGTAAAATAGTTTTGCTATGGATCTCTTTTTCAATTTCTCTCCTGTACATCCAAAAGGGTATTGTTCACAACCTGCTTTGCAAGAGGTTACTTGACAGGGGAGTAAAAACAGCCACCGCACAGCCTTACAGCAACACATTCTTCAGCAACTTTTACGAGGACCGTTCACCCATGGTGAGATTTGTAGTGTGTTTGTTTTTGTGTCCAAGACAAACGCAGCCTCCCCAACCTGCTCAGATCTCTTTAGGATAATAACCTGCCTTTTTTTTGTATTGAGTTAGGCTTTATGCCAGATTTTTCAAAAGTATAATGCCCAAATCTGGCTTTTACTCAAATATAAAGTGAAAAACTATACCTTGGTGATACTGGACATTCTTGAGGTCAGCAAATATCATCAAAATATAGAGAAATGAAACACTTCATGGAGTTTTCTTTGGATCATACTAAAAGCACTGCTTTCATTCAGTCCATATGTCTACATTACAATGCAAACTCTGGCTTGAAAATGTGCTGACTTCAAATTTGAATCAAGACAAAAATAGGAAATCTGGACAATCTTGCTTTGGTTCTATTGTCTGTTGGATGGGGGGTTATATTGAAGCTACCCATGCTGAGCATACATGTGGGCATGGCAGCCAATAAAGAGAAGAATTTAGGAGGGGAAAGTCTTGAGTCCTCGTAAAAAAAAAAAAAAAAAAAAAGTCTAAGACCGAAATGATTGCAACCATCTGGAAAAGACAACAGTCCAAAACCGGTTGGGAGGAGGGTAGGCAGCAGGGCTTGGTAGTCACAGGGGAAGCCGGGAAGGGATCTGCCTCCTGATCTGACCTGGCGTGCGTTCCTGAACCCTTGCACCTGTTGGGGGGGATCCAGTGTCATTACTTCCTCTTCAAACAGCAAATAGAAGAAGAGGGCGTGGATGTGGAAGAGACAGGAGATGATCTTTTGGGCCAGATGTAGAATCCAGCAACTTGCTGGAGACACTCAGGCTGTCAGTAACTGAGACAGTTGTAGAGGTCTTTGATAAGGCTCCAGCAATCTGTCAGTGGGGTGTAAGTTAGCTGACAACGTTAGTGGTCTGTTCAATCCATGGTAAATCATTGCTCTTTTGTGCCCTTGTTAGTGTTCTTGACAAAGCAGTGTTTGCATCTCCATGGTTCAGGCACTTCAGAATTACATTTGGGAAGCAATCGATCTTTTTGCAAGTATGTTTAGGAGAGGATGGCACCATTTTCCCTCCTATACAGTAGAGTACAAATTTATCTTCCAGAATTGATCCTTGAATCATCTGGCAATACATTGTTTCAAGTAATCAATTGTGGACCAAATCAAAGTCAAAACTCCTGCATACTGGAGACACATTTCACGCCAATTAATTTTTGTCCTTGTAAGCAGCTATTAGTAAGGAGGTCAAACATTAAGTAGAGAGGAGCAAAAGTAATGAGCGGAGATAATTCATTTGGGCGATGCAAGGAAAGTAATGAGCTTCCTTTCCACGATGGAAGACAGACAGTGACTGTTCTGAGCGTGGCAGCATATAGAGTCCTCCCCGCCTTCCATCCCTCGACTCCTGCCAGCGCCCTGTCTTCTCCAGGGGGCCAGTTGTCCATATCATCAATCAGCCTCACTGGTGCCTGCTCTGGCTGACTGCTACTACTGATGCCGTTGTCCCAAAGGTCGCAGCCAGGCAGGCAGATATCTGAGCAATGCAACACTGCATGTCTGTACCGCATGCAGTCACACCACTGGATACCTCTGAGAACACACACTGACCATTGGCAGAGGTTTGCACTTTAC